CTACTACTACTACTACTACTACTACTACTACTACTACTACTACTACTACTACTACTACTACTACTACTACTACTACTACTACTACTACTACTACTACTACTACCTATTACTACTACTACTACTACTACTGCTACTACTACCTATTACTACTACTACTACTACTACTGCTACTACTACTACTATTACTACTACTACAACAACAACAACAATTACTACTACTACTACTACTGCTACTACTACTACTATAACAACAACAGCTACAACAACAACAACAACTACTACTACTACTACTACTATTACTACTACTATTATTACTACTACTACTACTACAACAACAACAACTACTACTATAAGAGCAAAAGAACAGGAATACAATTTATTATCTTTATTATACTAATATAGACGATAATTATATATGCACATAATTAATTACTTAATATTGAACTGATAAAAAAGAATTTTTAATTAAAGAAAAAATTCTGCAATATTTTCAATTATTAGTGCCAAAATGAACAAAAAAAAACTTTAAAATTTATTTTGTTAAATAATAAAATTTAATTCTTTAATTATATATGATTAGAAAATAAATGAATGTCAAATGTGTATTAAACGTGAAAAACTTTGTTACTTAATTAATCTGTAATTAGTAATCAATCTAGAAATTAATGCATATGCATAAAAATACATTAATTAATATGCAAAAAATTAATTATTAATATATAAAAATTTGAAAAATTTATATGCTAAAAATATAAAAAATTTCAATAATTTAATCATATAATAAAAAGTTAAATATATATTAAAATATTTACAATATGCAAAAAAGAAAAAAATGAATTATGCTAATTAACAATTTTGCTAATTAACCATTAACGTATTTACTTGAATTAAAGCAAAATTAATTGAAAGGAAAAAACAAAAACTTACTTTAACTGTAGGACTTTTTAATGGTTTACAAAGATCAGGTATGTAATCAAATGAGACAGTATAAAATTGTCCTTTATTGACGTATGTCATCCGATCATCTTCTTTACGAACAGATGTTGATATTGGTGCTTCTAAGACATATTGAAAACCCAAACTATTCTCTCTGTAATAAATTATAATAAAAAGTTTTAAAATAGAAAAATATATATATATTCATGATAATATATTTTATTCAACAATAATAGGATTAAAAAAAAAAAAAAGAAAGAAAACTATAATAGACATTAATTAATATATTTTAATTAATTTAAATTAATAATCATGATAATATACTTATTCAACAATAATAGGATTAAAAAAAGACGCTATAATAGATATTAATTAATATATTTTAATTATTTATTTTAATTAATTTAAATTAATAAATTTCAACAATAATAGGATTAAAGAAAAAAGAAAGAGCTGTAATAGACATTAATTAATATATTTAAATTAATTTAAATTAATAAATTTTTTCAATTTAAATTAAAAATTTTTTAATTTAAATTAAAAATTAATTTAAATTAATAAATTTTTATTTAATAATTTATTATGGAAAAATAAATAAATTATTTCTTTCTTTTAATTTGAAATATATTGATGAATTTTTTTCTTTTAAAAATATTATTTCGTTTCATTTTCCTTTGATATTCCAAAATTTCATGTATTTTTCCTTTTTATTTTGATATTTCCTTTTTTTCATTTTTGCTAAAAATAATTGAAAATTATTAATTTATAAGTAATGTTCGATAAGATTGGATAATTTGCATAAATGCCAAATAGCATTTTGAGAAATTTGTGAAAATTTTTAAGAACTAGTTTAGTTGACGAATAATTTTTGTTACTTATCATAAAATTCATCATTTTTTCTTTTCTCTTTTTTTTTTTTGATCGATTGATAAATTGAAATAAGAAATGGTAAAATTCTTTCCGTCCTAATATTTCGTTTTTCTTTTTTTTTTTTTTAAATTGTATTAATAAGAATTGTCACATATTGTGATTAATTTGGTTCTACTGTAAATGATTCCAATTATGTGTATGCATTATTATGGTAATAAAAAGTATATATTATCGGTTAATTAGTTCTACTGTAAATGAGTTCAGTTA